AGGTTGTAAACCAAGCAGGTCTACTATAAATACAAAGCAGGAACCTCCATAAACAGAAAGGGAGAGCGGCCCCAGAAGAGGCACCTGGTGCAGGAAAAGGAAGCACCATAGGGCCTGAAGTGCAGGAGAGATGGGGGTGACATAGCAGTGACTGTCCAGGCCATCACCTCACCAACTGTCCATCATCTGACACACTCCAACCCCATGGGGCGGTGAGTGACAGAGCCCCAGGAAGTATCAAGGGAGTAAGAGTCAAGAGCTGGGTCCCATTGCTAATGTCAGGACAGAGGTCCTGGGAGCAGAAAGTGAAAAAGAGTGTCTAGCCTATCCATTCCGGAGGGGCAGGCTCTCAACTCCAAGGTGAAAAGCCAGTCTGTTTGGAGCACCTCCTCCCTCCCTTTGTCCCATCCCACCCAGCCTCTCCTCGCTGTACCCTTCATCGTCTCTCATCTTTGCCTAGCATCTCCATGCTTCCAACACATCGGGTTTTTAAAAACTATTTCACTCTCTTATGCATGTGAGTGTTTTTACCTGCATGCATGTTTTTGCACTTCATGCACACCTGGTGCTCTCAGAAGCCAGAGGAGGGCATTGGATTCCCCGGGGACTGGAGTTACAGATCGTCGAGAGCCACTATGTGCCGGGAATTGAACCTGGATGTCTAGAAAACAGCAAGTGTTCTTATCCACTGAGCTATTGCTCCATCCCCCACTCAGAGCATTGGTTTAAGGTCAAAACTTGGAGCCAATACAATCATCCATTCCACAAGTCCATGATCGGTCAGGACGACATCTCGCACATGCCCAGCCCTATCTCCATACCCAGGTTTCACTTCCTTTCACTTGTGTATGCGGTCCTGCCCCCATGTGACCTCAGAAAGCCAAGGGATCCAAGCAGACCCCATTCTAGTGTCCAAGTCCATGCCTGGATGTGAGGGTAAGAGGAGAGAGAGATGGGGCAATAGGAATCTCCCCAAATCTCCTAGGACTGGAGAAGGTAAGGAGGCAGGCAGACCTTACAGCCATGGCCTGATTCTCCACTACCCCCATCCCCCGACTAATTGCTATTCATGGGACACAGCTGGGTGATTAATGGCCTGATTAATAATTACTCAGGCTAATAAAATAATTAATTAATTTGGCAAGCCATTATTTATCTGGCTGTCCTCAACCTGAAACTCAGAAACTAGGAGTTTGGGAATCTCCCCTCCGGGCTCTTTCAAAAACAATCTTTAACAGGATGGCTGGTGGTGGGGATGTCTCGCTCAAATCACAAGACTCTTCCCAGGTGGATGAGGAAAGGGCTAAAGGGCTCTGAGAATACAGACAGAGGATAGAGATGAAACTACAGCAACCTCAAGCCAGGGAGGGAATTGACTTGTAGGTGAGGGCCTTCAAGAGGGCCAAGAGCCCTGCCTCTGAGCACCCAGGCTTGGGGAATTCTTGTATGTATTCTCTCTAGCACGTGATTGATGAGACCATTTTCAACATATGATCTTTATCTCTCCTTTTGTCTACCAAATTTATGATTCTGCCCCCAAGCCTCAGCCTACATGAGTGAGGACTAGGTGGGACCCAAGAACTACCAGGGAGACTTCTGGACTCTGCAGAGAGCAAGGCCCCTGTCCATCTGCAGCTGGGCTCTGCAGGACCCTTAGATTTGGGTTTCCAGTAAAACCAGAGAAATAGGACTGCCAATATTTTGGGAGGTGAAGATGGAGACAGAGCCTACTTCAGGAGTGATTTGTCTCATTGTCTTATAGGCAGGTAGAGGCCACACTCTAGGCCTAGAGACCACACACGAGCCATGTGGTCCCCTTGGGTGCTTTAGCAAGAGAGCTTAGGTGGACTCCCAGCAATGCTAAGTGTATAAAAGAACTCCATCTTGTTCTAGATGGAAGCAGGAAAGCCTAGGGTAAAAGCCTCCAAAAACAGAGATGCTTCTAAAATTTGTGTAGCCTGTGGTGGTGTTGCAACACCAGAGAGTTGGAGGCAGAGGATCAGTTCAAAGCCAGACTGGGCTACAAGTTAGACGTCACGGTGGACTGACTCCATGGGACGAAACCCTCCAGAGTGGACCTTTGAAGTGGCCTTTAAGAAATGACAGGAATCTACTAGTGCAGACTCCAAGCCATGGCCTAGGCTGCTGACGAACAGGACAAGTGGGAAAATGTGCATGAGAGGTAGCCGAGTGGACTCAGGCAAGCCCGACGTGGCCAGAGTGCTGTCCTTTCCCGTGGGCAGTGTGAAAGTGGGAGAGATGCTCACTGGTTTGTGGAAGGCATCTTAGCAAATGGGGAAGAGAGCTAGCTGGTCCATTGGACTCCAAGCCTCCACAGTGGACAGGAAGCCTCGGCGTCAAGCTGCTGGGGGTCCCCACTCTCCTGGTCTCCAACGGCTGAAGAAGGAACTGGGCGGGAGCTCTGTTCTTAAATCTTCCCACACCTCTGATGGATGGAGAGGAGCCAGGCAGCGGACGATCAGGGTGCACCGGCGGCCTGCAGTGGCGGAGGAGGTGCAGCCAGCAGAGGGCGCCCTGAAGACCGCCGTCAACAGCAAGGCCTCCCACTCACGGGCGCCCCCTGCCGGACACCTGCGCCCGTCACCCGCCTGGAGTGGTCAAAAGCGCGGAGCGTGCAGACGCTACTACCTGCTTCTGAAGTGCGACCACCCAAGGCGCCCAGCCTGGAGCCGGGCCTGGGCGCAGGGCCACCCAGGCGTCCCAGTGGGCGTCCACCGTGTGAGCACCTGGTTTCCTTCCGTGGGGGAAGGGCGACCCTCTTCACCTGAGCTTCCTCCTACTACCTCGCCCTTGGCAGTGTTTCCCACCTCTCCTTCCTCCACCAGTTTCCATTATAAGGGGGTTTCAGGTTACAGCCAATCTCATCTTCAGCCCTTCACCCTGAGCATCCAGGGTTGACTCCGTTGGGGAAGTTCTTCCCGGTGTCTAACCACCATTCCTCTTATTGCAGCTGCAGCCAAATCTTAAAAGCTATAGCCTCACTGGAGAAAGTGGCTGCCTCAGTTTTCTTCCCACGCTCCCTTTCCCATGGTCACAACTCCATTGCCCTCCTGAAAAAGGCCTCCACCTCCCCATCTTGGATTCCTTCGACTTTTGTCATCCGGGCCACCCAACGCTGCTTCTGCTCGCCCACGAAGCTGGGCGCGTGGATAGCCTCAGTTTCCCAGTGGCTTCCTCCCGCTTCCTCAGGCTCAG